AATTACCTGCTTATTAAATATTGAATCAGATACTTAACGGCTAATCTTTAGTAAAAGTAAAAACTTTATAATTTTTACGATATTATAGTTAATAGATTTTGTTTACAAATTCAGATATAAAAAAAAACGATCATGTCTATTTATTCATTAATTTACCTTTATAATTATTAACTATGCTATTAAAATTTTACAGCCACGATTTATACATCTACAAGATTTAATATGTGGCTTTAATTTATTTTATACTAATTAAAAATTATTATAATATCACACATTCAAACTATAGCATAACTTTTAATCAGGGATTATACAAAAATAATAACTTTGTATCTAATCAATAATACAGTTTTTAATCAAAAACTATTTCAAAATTATAATTCTGTATTTAAAATATAGCATTGTTTTTAATTAAAATTATCTAAACAATAGTTTCGCATCTAAACAATGACTTCGCATCCAAACAGTGGCTTTACATCTTAACAATGATAACGATAAGTTTATAATCAAAAATAATAACTTTACATCAAAACAATAACATAGCCTTTAAAGCTTTATCTTTTACCGGAGGCTTTATTCTTTATAGAGGGCTTTAACTTTTATCAGAAATTTCGCTATCTATAAGAAATTTGTCTTTATAGAGGTTTCGCAAGTTTTACAGGTTTCGCAGGTTTTGTCAGTTTCGCCAGAGGTTTTGTCATTTGAGGGGGTAGGTTTCATCTTTCGTCATTTTGCAAAAAGGTTTTGTCTAACAACACTAGGTAAATACAATAACAAAAATTGTAAGTTAACTGCGGTTGATAATGGGGCCTTATTAACTCGCTTTAATAATACTCCGGATTAATATTATTAAAAAGAGTCAATCATTAACAACCCCAAGTCAAACTAAAAGTAATATTTTTTTTTGGACAAAGTTTCTCCAACGACAGGAAAACGTAACCAACCCAGCCTTTCAGAGTCAGTAGGCCTCGTCGGCAAGAAACTCCTTTTAATTACTGCTACCGTTATTGAAATCAAATCCTGATAAACGATTGATCCAGAGTGTCCTTTTGCGCCAAGATCTCCAATAAACCAACCGTGTCAAGTATAAGACCAAGAGTGTTCTTTCGCACAAGTGCAAACGAACCCAGTAAAACAATAATTAAAGGGTCTAACTATTAAAAAAAAATACACCACCTGGTTCGGTTCTTCCCCGGCGAGTCTGGCGGATCTCCTTTGCCTACCGTAATTATAGTTACCACTCATGGTAAAGAGCGAGCAAAAACGAGCGGAAGCAAGAATGAGCGGGAGCAAAAACAAGCGAAAGCAAAACAAGCGGGTGCAAGAATGAGAAGGAGCAAGCGAGGACGAAAAAATGCTGTATGTGAAAAAAAAAACGTTTGTGCGAACAATAACGGACAAACGATATGAGAAGGACCGGGAAAACTATATATAAGGTCCCCGCACAAAAATTCAAAACATCATTAGTATGCGGATCATAATATGATTGGCTATTTATTCACATGTACCTATTCCAAATATAGTAATAAACCCAAGAAAGGAAAGATCTTCACAAAAAATTCTTTAATTTTACATTTAGAGTTTGGAACCGGGTTTATTTTTCATATGTTAAAACCGGTTTTAACCGGTTTTAACATATGAAAAATAAACACACTAGTGACATTTATATATTTTAAAGTACTCTCCTTATATATAGTTTTCCTGATCCTGCTTGAACCTTTCTGACACGTGATTTTTTAGCCAATTAGACTGAGAGATCAGGTGTAACGTAAAATCAACAGAATTAAGCGAAAGACTTAATTAAGATTAGGATTAAGTCTAAGGGAGGGCATAAGTTTAAACCAGAATTTCTCAAGGGTTAGAACAGAAAAAAAAACCTCTCGTGATTTTCACATTACACCTGATCCTTATAACTAGAAAAAAACTTACACCCCTTGAATGTGTGCTAGGTTACTGAACTACGAATCAGATTTCAAGATCAGGTGCAACTAGAGATGTAAACCTTAATATAACAGCCAATTAGATTTTAGATAGTCGCTAGTTTCACCAGCATCATTTAGTTTCACCAGCAACCCTAGGTGCAACGTAACAAAACAAAGTCCGTTTTATCAAAAATCGCTTATTTCTCGAAATTACACATAAGAAACCACTTTTGGTGCTCTAATAAAAAGTTTCCGTTGGACAATTTTACCAATATAATAACCCGTTACCCTAACCCAACTCTAATATAAATAACATTAAAGAATTTTGCTGCGCCATAAACCTATTATGTTTTTTGTATGACGATACGATGATGCGTATGTGAGTTATTAACGACCGAGAAGAAAAAATTTTTTATTTATTTCAGATGGAAAGCATGAACTTGCCAAATTACAGAAAACGATTCTGCAATGTGATTTTTTTTTTTTCAATAACCCTTGTCTTTTGAAGTCGTCATAATAAGTTCTTTTATTGAAAACATTTCCTTCAAATTCCTTCATCGTAATCAGTTTGAATTCGCCTGTTTTACCAATACTTTTTAAATTTTCCCATACCAAGAAATGAATTAAAACACTGATTAAGAAATCTTGAAAATACTCAATAGCTAGCAATAAAAGAGCAAATACTTTTAATACTTACAGGCATATACGTCTTCTATAATGTGATTTCATGGAAATGTCGCGTATTTTGTATACCCAAACATCCCATACCATGTGCGTGCCTTCATTCCTGAAAAAATTTAAAGTATTTCAGTTATGTGATAATTAGGCTTCAGTACAATTTTTAATTACCTGAAAATGCGGGTGTAGAAGTTTCTTGCTGTATTTTGTTATTGAATGTATTGTACTGTACATAAATATAGGCGTACTATAATGTGTATCCGTACAGTAAACTTTTTATTATATAAAATGTAAAATAAGTATTGTACTGTATTGAATAAAAACGACAGTACAATACAGCAATACGATATGTTCAGCCTTTTAATATCGTTACGAAAGCAATTTAAAATTACAGCGAAGGAAGACCCTGTTATCGAGGATTCAAGTTTATTGCTTACTGGACTCACAATTTGTTAGGATTGTGCTCGGTAAATTATATAATTTTAAATAATTTATTACGTAGATAAATACAGTACCGGTATAACTATAAATTAATAAAAAAAGCTTCACTTTAAAAGTGTAATTAATTTATACACGCCTTACATTCGAATTTGCTATGTTAATTAAAAACAATAACATTATATTATTATATATCGATGTAACTCTTCGCAAAGTGCATATTAATTAAAAGTTCAATTATATAAAAGTTTTTGAAGTTTCTCTCACAACTTACTTATTTTTTTTCAACTCATTATTTTATCTGTTTAACTCACAAGCTTTTCATACTCAATTCTTTCTTGTTCTTCAATATTAATGAGTTCACTTGCAATTAGAGTTTGATAATGGAGATTTAATTAGAATAAATTCATTCGTTAGTACTATAGTGTACTATATATTCATTTACAAACAAATAATATGGGTTTGGGTCCCATAGCTTGCTTGGTAAGTTCCTGACCCCACCATATACAAGGTCAACGGTTCGAGTTCGACTGGAGGCGAAATATACTCTGTAATCATAAAAGAAGGATGCGAAGCCCTGTGGTACAAGTCCAAGTGAATATAAGTTTGGATTAGGTGGGCATTATAAATGGTGAGAGAAGCGGTGAACATGTGGAAGATCTGTGGAAAAGGATTGGCCTTACCAAACGCGGAACACCTCTGGCACAAGAAACCCAAATTAGGGGGTGTATTCTAAAATATACTCACAAGTTAGATAACAAAATAAACCAGTCTGTCAAAATACAGCTTACTTCTTTACAGTAAACTTTTGATATAATGAAGAATTTTGAATTGCTAGCCAAAAAAAAGACCGATTTTTTTAATTACTTTCAGGAATTATTAAATTTCAATCGTATCTAGTAAAATATGTTTAGTATTTTCTTGATATAAGTTATAGTGTGGATTTTTTTCCTAACCTGAGGACTTTATTATAGTGAGCAAGTTATAATCGTGTTTTCTTGTATTTTTTTTTATATATGAAACCACCTTAATTTTTTGTTGAAAACTGTATAAATAACAAACGAATAAAAAGAAAAAAAAATTGTATACAAGTAACTTCCTATAATGAACTGACAGTTCTTATAGTAAAAATTTTTGTAGAAGTAATTTACTATGTTCATATACCGGCTCTATAATAAATTTGTTAAAGTTTATTATAGAGTGAGCTCTTTATAAAAAAGTTCGATATAAAAAAGTCGGCTGTTTACATTGCATAGATGTGTCAAAATAAAATGAGATCGGTGGTTAACGATTTGGTATTTACGGTACATAAATAGTTCATACTGTAGTGATTTTTACTTCACGTTCTATACAATCCAGTACGAGATTATATTTATATATATGCATCTTCGTACTGTATCGTATCATTTCAAAATTTTATAAATACAGTACTAAATTATCTTCCGTACAGTACACTATATATGTATATTCCTGAAAATGCTATCAAAAGCTTTTCTGCCCCTGTAAACATATTTCGCATGGATATTCGACCCCAAGTCCGTGTAGTTTATAGAGTAAGTATGGAATTGGTTTACCATCCCATCCAAGAAGCAATTTCAGAGGATTATAAATTTTGTTCTCATCTTCCGACTCAGACTCTATATCATTTACTTCTTCCGCTTCTATTCCATCTAAAAGTGATTATAGAAATAATAATAATGATGAAATGACACTACGTTCTCTGTCAGTCAAGGCTCGTTTCTTTCTACATTTGCTTTAGTATCTTCTCGCTGCATACTCAATATTTCCGCATATTCGCATATCAACATACGATTTCTTTTTCCCGATTATCTCTTTCTTTTGCCACCTCTAAGTAATTTCTTTTGTGTTTCTCAGTCTATAGAAGTGATTCCTTGTTCTACCATTGTATTAGCAGCTTTTATGGGTTTCTTCAGATAGTCCTTACGACCTATATAATACGGTTTAATAAATTAGAAATTAGAATTTGTCAATGTTCAAAGTCTATGACATTTAGTAATATACAACCTGCACAAAACAAGCCATTGTCTTCGTCTGAACCGATCTGCTTCTTCCAGCCTGGGAATTTTTCATTTTCACATTGCTGAAGAAAAATTTTTTGGCTGTTTTCTTTAATATCTTCTAAGTTAGAAAGTGGCTTCATCTTTTTGAAAAAGTTCTCTAAATAAGTCCTCCAAATATT